AAAAATAGATAAAAGTAGTCCTGCCCTGGCTGGTGTGGCTCAGTTGGTTGAGCATTGTTCAAGCACTGAAAGTTATTACCAGTTTGATTCCTGGTCTGGGCACATGCCCAGGTTTGGGGTTTGGTCCCCAGCGGTCAGGGTGTGTACAGGAGGCAACCTCAATGTTTCTCACATTGATGCTTCTCTCTCTCCCCCTTCCTCTCTAAAATCAATAATAAAAAAACAACAGTCCTGCCCTGGCCGATTTGGCTCAGTGGTTAGAGCGTCGGCCTGTGGTCCGGAGAGGCCCGGGTTCGGTTCCCGCTAAGGGCACGTACCTCAGTTGCAGTTTGTCCCCGGCCCTGGTTGGCTGTGCGGGTGGCAGCCACTCGATGTGTCCCTTTCACGTCGATGTTTCTCTCTCTCTCTCTCTCTGTTCCTTTCTCTCCCTCCCACTCTACCTGAACAAAAAATGAAAAATGTCCTCGTGTGAGGATAAAAAAAACAAAACAAAACAAAAAAACAGTCCTGTCTGGCCAGTGTGGCTCAGTGGTTAAGCGTTGACCCATGCACCAAGAGGTCGCCAATTTGATTCCTGGTCAGGACACATGCCCAGGTTGTGGGCCTAATCCCTGGTGGGGGGCATGCAGAAGGTAGTCAATTGATATTCTCTCTCATCGATGTTTCTATCTCTTCCTCTCCCTTCCTCTCTCTAAAATCAATAAAGGAAAAAAAATTTAAAAAACAACAGTCCTTATGTGTAAGATTATCTAACTTTTTTTTTTTTTTTTTCATTTATCTTGAGATAAAGCAGGAGGGAGACAGGGAGGAAGAGAGAGAGAGAAACATCAATGTGAGAGAGACACATCAAGTGGTTGCCACCCACCGGCCAGGGTTATCCAACATTTTTAAAAGAGCCAAGAGTTTAATTAAGCAAGGTAACATGATCACATTAAGAATACTACTCAAGCCCTGGCCAGTTTGGCTCAGCAGTTAGAGTGTCGGCCCACGGACCAGGGAAAGTCCCGGATTCAGTTCCCACTAAGGGCATGTACCTCGGTTGTAGTTTGTCCCCGGCCCCGGTTGGGGTCGTGTGGGTGGCAGCCAGTCAATATGTCTCTCTCATGTCGGTCGGTGTTTCTCTCTCTTCCTCCCTCTCTCCCTCCTGCTCTATCTGAAGATGAATGCAAAAATGTCCTTGGGTGAGGATGAAAAAAAAAAAAATACTAGTCAGCCTGTGTGTTTTCTGACTCTAAATTTGATCTTATAACCACATCCTAATCACTAGGCCTGCTGACTGCAGAGTGTGTAGCCACCTTTTTAAAAGACAATTATTTTTTTTTCAAGCTGAAGTTTTATTTCAAATGTAGAAGAAAGGGTTCTTGAAAATGCTGATGGATAAAGCAAAAGGATACAGTGCTCTCTTCCTACGCGTCAGCAGCCTGTGCAAGTGCAGGACAATACACAGTACATAAGAGCTGGTCGAATTTCAGTCGTTTTGTGTTAGATTATCTGTGCCTAGATCATGGAGAGATTCTCAGTGTGTGATCTTGGTTCTGGGTTTACACCTTTACTGAGCATGAACAAGAGCTCCTGCTCCCTGGCCAGAGCCAAATCCTTTGGGTCCAAAGTTCTTTGCATAGCACCCTTTACAACAGAGTTCACTTCCTTCCTCGGTCAGAGTTGTTGATCCAAGACTCTTTCGACACTTGGCACAGGGGAAGCCGCTTTTGTACCAGGACTTTCCTGCTCCTATGACTCTCAGCAGCATACATGGAACCCCCACATCTGGAACACTGCTCGGCTCCTCTGCATTTCTGAGTAAATTATGTTTTTTTCTTTATTGATTTTAGAGCGAGGGAGAGGGAGATGGAAACATCGGAGAGGACATTGATTGGCCACCGCCTGCATGCCCCCCACAGGGATTTGGCTTTGCCCTGACCGGGAATTGAACTGGCGACCTCTTGGTGCATGGGTCGTTGCTCAGCCACTGAGCCACATCAGCCAGGCTCTCTGAGCAAACTTCGAAGTGTCTGGATTTGTTGCAGGCCTGTGAGGTTGAACTCTGCCTGGCTTGACGCCCAGCCTCCCGCCCTGGTCCATGTTAAGCATGCCAGCACCCAGGCCGGAACCGCAGCCTTGTGGCCGCCACGTCTTTCCATAGCGGGTTCGAGTGCATCTCTTCACCACGTGTTGCCCGTTGTGCGGAATCTTTCCTGCAAACCACGCACAGAAAGCAGCGGCAGTGGAAGGTTCTCCCAGCACACTGCACCTCTGCGACACGCGGCACGGTCCTCCGACGGCCTCCACTTTCTCCCACCTCCCCGATGACATTTCAAGTCGGAGGCAGGACCACCACCACCAGGCAGAGCTAGGGAAGCTGAGTCGGGGGGGTGCACAGGAATCCGGGAGCCATTATTTTAAGGTGGTGTTCTTTCTGCCGTAACTAAACTGAACAAGAATGCTGTGGGTTATCATTCCCGGGGCCTGCTGACTGCAAAGCCTGTGTGTTTCTCTGAAGGTCAGCCTTAGGACACCTGGTGAATCTGGAACAAAACACCCTGCATTAAATAACATCGTATCGTTACACCTGCCGAATTTGGTGTGATGGTGATGTAAGAGAATGTCCTTGTTTTGAGGAAATACTGAAGTACTTTTATTTATTTTTAAAAATGTTTTTATTGATTATTTTTAGAGAGGGAGAGATAGAAAATTGGTGTGAGAGAAACATCGATCAGCTGCCTCCTGCATGCCCCCTACTAGGGATCGAACCCACAACCCGGGCATGTGCCCTGACTGGGAATTGAACCAGGATATCTCAGTTGGTGGGACCACGCTCAGTCCACGGAGCCACACCCAAGGGCTATTGAAGTATTTTTTAAAATACTTTTTCTTTATTGATTTTAGAGAGAGAGCAAGGGAGAGGGAGAGATAGAAACATCGATGAGAGAGAACATCAACTGACCGCCTGCTGCATGCCCCCCACTGGGGATCAGACCCACAACCTGGGCATGTGCCCTGACCAGGAATCAAACTGGTGACCTCTTGGTGTATGGGTCAGTGCTCAACCACTGAGCCACATCTGGCTGGTACTGAAGTATTTTTTGTTGTTGTTCAAATAGAGTGGGAAGGAGAGAGTGAGAGAGAGAGAGAGAGAAACATTGACGTGAAAGGGACACATTGAGTGGTTGCCTCCTGCACGACCCAACCAGGGCCAGGTACAATTGCAACCGAGGTACGTGACCTTAGTGGGAACCGAACCTGGGTCTCTCTGGACCGCAGGTCGATGCTCTGACCGCTGAGCCAAACCAGCCAGGGCTGCAGTATTTTTAAATGACTGCAGGAGGGGTGCCGGTAGGGTGGGGGGATGAAAGAACCTATATAGATAAAGAGAGACTGATAAAGCAAATGTGGCAACTCTCTAGCACAGACAACACCAGAAACTGCCCAGATCCAGATTTGTTGTTGTTAATCCTCACCCAGGGATATTTCTCCATTGATTTTTAGATAGAGGAGTGGAAGGGAGGGAGGGGGAGAGAGAAAGACACATCCATTGGTTGCCTCCCTCATGACACGGAGGGCCAGGAATGGAACCTGCAACCCAGGTATGTGCTCTTGACTGGGAATTGAACTCTCCACCCTTCCGTCTGAAGGCCAAGCTCCAACCACTGAGCCAAACCGGCCAGGGCAGAATCACAGTTCTTTTATGTTCACTGTTTGCTTGTAAGAAAATCTCTCTGAATCGGAATTTAAAGCTTTTTTCTGTGCACCTACAGAAAAGGTAAAGTATTATACAGCCTACAACTCAGGAGGAATAGAACAGTAGAAGAGCTAGTACCTATTTCTGGCTCTTTTTAGGAGACATAATAAAAAAACTGCGGCCCTGGCCGGTTTGGCTCAGCGGTTGGAGCGTCGGCCTGCGGTACAGAGAGACCCGGGTTCGGTTCCCGCTAAGGGCACGTACCTCAGTTGCAGTTTGTCCCCGGCCCTGGTTGGTCGTGCGGGTGGCAGCCACTCGATGTGTCCCTTTCACATCGATGTTTCCCTCTCTCTTCCTCTCTCTCCCTCCTGCTCTATCTGAACAAAAAATGGAAAAATGTCCTCGGGTGACGATAAAAAATAAAAAAAATAAAAAAAAAAAACAAAAAAAACTGCGTAACGTGCCAGGCACGGTGCCAAGTGGTTTACATACACTGTGTAACTCACAAAAACTCAGCGAGTCTGATGTAATCGTTTCATATGTAAAATGGGGGAAACAGCATTTCACTCCAAGGGCTGTTGTAAGGGTTACGAAACTATACTTAAAGGCATTTGGCACAGTGTCTGGCAAAAAGTAAGTGCTCAACACACGTTTCCGGTCATTGGTCTTCTCACCTTTCAGGTAAACAGATGCAGAGAAAAGCAAATGAAAGAAACAGGATTTTCAACCCCGGTCTGACCCCCAAGTTTCTTTTTCGAAACGACCTGCTCGTAGTAAGTCCCCGTGACGGTGACTGAGCTTAAAGCCAAGGGACCCCAGATGTGACCCTGTCCTCGCCTGTCCTCAGCCCGCACCGCCGGCCGGCCCGGCAGCTGCTCTCTGAGTCCTTGCGGAGCCGACGCGGGGCTGGGCGTCCAGCCCGGGTCGGCGGCACCTTTCCGGGCAGGTGGCCTCTGCGCAGGTGTCCCCGTCTGCGCTGGGAAGAGGATGCTCAGGGGAACGGACTCGTCTCCCCACCTCCCAAAAACGCTACGGAGGGCCGTCGCCGTCCGAACCACTACGACTTCAAGGGCTCGCCACTCTGCCACGAGCCCTACACGCCTGGGTCCCGGTCTCACGACATTTCTGCAGCGCCCTGCTCGCCCCTCCTCCCCCGCGGCAGGCGCAGGCGCGGGCGCATGCGCACGGCGGATCCCGCAGCGCGTCGCACTTCCCGGTGAACTACATCTCCCACAATCCCAATCGACCGGACCACCTCCCGCTCGAGGTGGAGGTGGGGGCGGGGGCGGGCCGGGTCCCCCGGGGGCGGGGCCTCCCAAAATGTCCTGCCTGTGTCCTCTTGGGTAGAACTCGCTTTGAGGGAGCCTGGGGTTCCCCGGTAAGGTAGGACACCTGTCCCGATTGGGTACGATTCTGCCCTCCGCCGTCTCTCAGGACCCTCAGGGTAAACCGGCCCTTGGTCTCGTCCGGAGGAGACCCGGCCGCCGGCCGCGGTGGAGCCCCCGGGCCGTGAAGGGCGGCCGGCGCACGCATGCGCAGAGGCGCAGCATGGGGGCGGGAGCCGCTGCACCCCTTCCCCGCGTCTGTAACGGTGAGTGGGGGGCCGGGCGGGGCGTGTTCCTCGTTAGGACTGACCACTCTCCGCAACGACCACCATTGGCACCACCTCCACCTCCCAGCCGACCCCACAAGCCGTTGACCCCAACTGTCCAGAAAATTGGGGTCCCCAGGAGCTCAGATTTAACGTTCACACGTCAGATAACTCGTGCAGTTAAACCACTTCCATCTGTTCATTGCCATTGCCTGTGTGCACGTCTTTGTCCTCCATGTGCCATATGTTTTCCAAATAGCAGCCGACCTGCCTTGGTTCCCGGCCTGCAGCCAAGAGCTCCTTCCAGCTGGGTACTTACTTCTATTCGAGTTAGTGTCAGACTAGCTACAGACCTTGTCACGGCCTCTGTGTCATGTGAGTGAGAGGTCTCCTTGAGCCCATGGAGACAGTGATGCTGATGAAGCTGATAATCAGCTGGGGATGCAGACAAACATCTTGTTGTGCCCTTGCCCTAACCCTAACCATCCTGCACACCGTGCTGTGTGACTCGCTTGTGCTGCCTCACCTTCAGGGCTGACGTTTTCTTTCCAGATGAGAAGATTGGATGAGCTGCTCTCTAAGAACTTGCCTGCTCTAAAATTCTGTGGTTGGTTATGGAATCCATGTTATATCACAACATGTTAATGCTAGACATCATCAACTTCCATTTCTCTGCTAACATAAGTAAAATACAGTAAAACCTTGATATAATGGACTAATGTAGGCGAGAGGGTGTCCATTAAAGCCAAAAGTCCATTATATAATAAAGTAGGCTTTCCAAATGCACGTGTTAAAAAATCGACAAATTAGTTTACCTGTTTTTTACTTACGTTGACACATTTGTGTAGTTAAAATTAAGTATGTATGAAAAGCTTACTTTCACAGAAAAGTTTTCTATATATATTACTGTAATTTTAAATTTATATTGAATAGGTCTAATGTGCATTCACCAGTCACTGAGAGTAAACAGGTGCACAGGGCTGGGGCGTGGCCTTGTGCACTTGGGAACATCCCCTGTTACAGAAAGTCAGGCCTCATGACAACCAGTGATCATGCACGATGCAGTGTGATCATGTGCTAATCATTCACTGAACAGTGTTTACCAGTGGTGACTCTTGGATTTAAATATGTAGCCTATAGTTGTAGATATGTAATATTTTATTTATTTATTTTTTTATTTTTTTATTTTTTTATCCTCACCCCAGGACATTTTCGCATTTATCCTCAGACAGAGCAGGAGGGAGAGAGGGAGAAAGAGAGAGAAACATCAGTGTGAGAGAGATACATCAAGTGGTTGCACCCACACGACCCCAACCAGGGCTGAGGACAAACTGCAACCGAGGTACATGCCCTTACGGGAACCGAACCCTGGACTCTCTGGTCCACGGACCCACGCTTTAACCGCTGAGGCAAACCAGCCAGGGCTGTAATATTTATTTATATTGGTGAAATTACTACAGTGTTTTTCCAACATATGGCATGTTTGCTAAAATTTGTTTAGAATAACGAATGGCTGGTGTGGCTCAGTTGGTTGGGCATTGTCCCATGCACCAAAAGGTTGCCAGTTCAATTCCTGGTAAGGGCACATGCCCAGGTTTTGGGTTTGATCTCTGGTGAGGGGGCATGCTGGAGGCAACAGATAGATGTATTACTCTCACATCAATGTTTCTCTCTCATTCCCTCTCCCTTTCTCTTTCTCTAAAAATCAATTTGAAAAAAATCTTAAAAAACAATAAATAACAGTGAATTAATAAAAAAATTATAATTAATTTAATTATAAGCAAATCTTGGTTAAAAGTATTTTAAAATTAACAGGTGTTAATTTTCACATATGACATACAAACTGGAAATTTTGTCCCTTAAATCTGAAGTCCATTAAATCAAGGTCCGCCAAATCAAGGGTTTACTATATAGCTATAAGAATTTTGGCAGCCACCTTAGAAAGAACTGCCCCCTGTTGTACTTGTCATTTCTTCCTTTTTGCTGAGAACATGAAATTAGCAGGTAATACAACTTTCTTCACCCTGTCTTTGTTGTCATTTTATAGATCGTTTCTAGGAAGAAGAACGAGTACAGTAATGAACACCTTGTATGTGATGATGGCTCAAATCTTAAGATCTCGCCTGATAAAGGCTGCACTGATTTCTCACCAAATGAAAATGCTTCCATATCTTGGAGTCATTAGAAACAGGATGATGTCAACTCATAAGTCAAAAAAGAAGATGAGAGAATACTATAGGCTGCTGAATCTGGATGAAGGATGCTCTCCAGATGATGTCAGGGAATCTTTTCGTAAGCTCGCCAAGCAGTACCATCCGGATGGCGGCTCTTCTACTGCTGATTCTGCAACATTTATAAAGATCGAAGAAGCTTATAGGAAGGTGCTTTCCCACGTGATGGAACAAACAAATGCCAGACAGCAAAATGTTGAAGAAGCAGACGAAGACGAAAAATTAAAATATAAAACACCCCAACACCGGCATTACTTGAGTTTCGAAGGTATTGGATTTGGGACTCCTAGTCAACGAGAGAAGCAGTATCGGCAATTTAGAGCAGACCGTGCAGCTGAGCAAGTGATGGAGTATCAGAAGCAGAAACTACATAGCCAGTATTTTGCTGATAGTTTAACTGTTAAAGATGTGAGGCAGACTAAAGAACAAAAGATAACCCAGGCAATAGAGCGTTTAGTGGAGGATCTCATCCAGGAATCAATGGCAAAAGGAGATTTTGACAATCTCAGTGGGAAAGGAAAACCTCTAAAAAAATTTTCTGGCTGTTCATATATTGATCCTATGACTCACAACCTGAACAGAATATTGATAGATAATGGATACCAACCGGAATGGATCCTAATGCAAAAGGAAATAAAGGATACTATTGATCAACTCAGAGAGGCAATTTTAGTGTCCAGGAAAAAACTTGGGAATCCCATGACACCCACTGAACAGAAACAGTGGGACCACATTTGTGAGGAATTTCAAGAAGACATCAGGAAATTAAACAAGCGAATTAACGATTTTAATTTAGTTGTTCCCCTCCTAACCAGGCAAAAAGTCCATTTTGATGCACAGAAAGAAATTGCCAGAGCCCAGGAAATATATGAGACCCTTATAAAAACAAAAGAAGTCACAGATAAAAACCGAAATAACATTGATCAGGGAGAAGGGGAGAAAACACCTGGAGTCAAGACAGGTTTTTTCAACTGGATGAATATGTGGAAATTCATTAAAGTCTGACCATCTCAGTGTTCACAGTACTGCCCCAAATCATTTTCAGTTGTACTGACATCACACGTAGAAGCTGGGACTTAGGGCTGTGACCCAGGAGTCTGCGAACTGTGTGCCTCAGGATGTGTCACAGAACTCATGACATCTTCGGTGATGTGTACGGGAGAAAGCTGTAAGAAACTGCATCACAGAAATGTCCAAGCAGCTTTGCTCTGGGAATAGAGCAAGGAAAGAAGCAGCTCTGGGAACACAACTGAATCCGGTTCATTGTCGGTCGTCAGGGACTGGGGCGGAGTCACAGAGGGGATTCCAGGTGTCTCAGTGCAGTCTTAAACTCCGACAATCGAAAACCAGTTGCTTTTGCCATCTTCAAACACAGGCACTTAAACGTAATCAGAATGTTTATGTATATTATCAAAAGTCATAAAACGAATCAACTATGGAGTGTAGGCAAGTAAACCTCCAAATGATGCATGTTTTTTGCAAGTTTGCTGCACTTATACATCTGACGTTATTACAGCTCTAACTATGGTAAGACTCTTGGGACACTACATGGGTGGAAATGTTGAGATGAAGAAATTGACCTATGGAGTTACTGCACTCTCCTCTTTTTATAAAGGTCTTCTCTTGTGGGTACCTAATTAAAAAATATATATCTGGATTGTACGTTTTCCTGACTAACTTTATGGTCCATTGGCTGCAGAAATCAGTCAGCCAAGCTGGTTGATTTAGCTAGTCTAGAAAAAGACTCTTGTGTCCACTAGTAAAGAGTTTTGAGTGCATTTTCTGACCTTCTCTTGTGGGTACCTAATTAAAAAATATATATCTGGATTGTACGTTTTCCTGACTAACTTTATGGTCCATTGGCTGCAGAAATCAGTCAGCCAAGCTGGTTGATTTAGCTAGTCTAGAAAAAGACTCTTGTGTCCACTAGTAAAGAGTTTTGAGTGCATTTTCTGACCTTTCAGGAGTGAAAACTTCTCAGCTCAATGGCTTCATCTCTACTCAGAGATTAAAATATTAGATTTATAAAAACCTACCTGAGGTCTCTCTGTGTCATGTATGGGACACCCCAGAGCGTCTTTTAGCCACGTGAAAATGTCAAGTTACTGTCTTAGGGATCTAATTTCCTGTCTTAGGAATCCTTTAATAAACAAAGACAAGATGTCTGAATTTTGCACCAATTTGCACTTTTGGCAAATGACAAGAGTTTGGCGTTCATGAAATGATTGTGTCGCATCCATTTTCAGTAAATCTGCCTTTGGTCGTGGAGCCAGAGTGCTGGAGGGGGACGCGGTGCTGAAGTGTGGCACATGCGCTCTCGTGTTTGAAGAACAGCTATTTTGTTAAAAGTGTGTGATAGTTCAAACTACATCTTGAGCCCTGGCCGGTTTGGCTCAGCGGTTAGAGCTTCGGCCTGCAGTCCAGAGAGACCCGGGTTCCGCATCCTCCTGGTACATGGGTTGACGCTCAACCACTGAGCCACACCAGCCAGGCGGAAACCATTTTCAATAAGGGAAGATAGAATGATCAGAAAACTTTAGTCCTTAATTTCAGCACAGCACACTTTATGTTTGTAAACGTCCATATTAATAAAGTTAATGTTAATGATTATCCTGGTTCCATTGTATAAACAGCTAGTAGTAGCAACCATATTTTTGGCTGACCACCTACATGTTTTTCAGTCTTTTAGACGGATGGTCTCAGAACTGACCGGGACGTAGTCATTCTGGTTGAGGTGATCCAGTTAAGTGAAAACAGATTTCCTCGTTTGAGTAACGGAGCCCGGGTGGGGAGATGTGGCCCGTTTACTGGAGCTGGCGAACCGGAACCCGGCACACCTCGCGGGGCAGCACTGGCCTTTTCCTCCTGGGTTTTCGGCTCCTGACTTGCCAGCTCCTCGGGGCTGGTAGTAACGCACTGAGATTTATGAACTGTCAGTGGGCCCACGTCAAACTGCCGGTTCCCCGCCCCTTCCTCAGCCTGTAGGCCCAGGATGCCGGCCCTGAGCATGGACAGAGCCTCCGTCTTGGCGGCCTGTCCCCAGCTGCCCGGCTCGGCCTCAGTGGGGTGGGACCTGCAGACGACGGCTCTTTGGTACAGCGACTGCGTTACTGCTCTTCGGCCCTCTGCCAGGGCGTCGCCCCGCTTCGGGGGCCTCCCAAGGATAAGTCCCCGCAACCTTGCCTGTGTGGCGAGGGCCTATTACTCCCTGACACGCGGCCCTGCCACCCACTGCCTGGGCCCCCACCCCGGGCCTCGGCCGCCTCCGGGGACCGTCGCAGTGCTCCTCGGACACACTGGTGGTGGCTCGCCTGTCCCCAGAAGCAGCGCATCTCCTTTCGACAGTGTTCCCTTCGTCCAGCATCCACGCAGTGAAGACCTGGAAAGGGATCCACCTTCCCCCGTCTGGATTCTCAGAAACCAGCAACTGAGGGGGCCCCAAAGATGACCCTCAGATACGCTCTCTCTGGTGTGACTGCTGCCACCCCCACTCCAGCGCCAGGTCGGGGACACAGGGCTCCCTTTCCTCTGGCCCAAGGGCAGACCCACAAGTGTGGCTGTAATAGCTCTTACCTGACTGAGACCAGTCTAGAACATCAAAATAGAACTTTCCTCAAGGCTCAGGGATGACAAGGGGAAGGGAAGACAGTCCCTAGGATGGATCATCTGGCCAGTGGCCCTCTCCAGTCTGCCTCTGAGCCCAGTATTTTTCTACTCTGGGAGAGCCCTCGAGCGCCGGACACAGACAAGACTGCAAAGTGGAGGGAAGCTAGTGAAAGTAAGTGTCCATGTCGTACAAATGAGGGAGGTGGCCTTTACTTACATATACACACCATTCTGGTCTAAAACTCAGCGGAGGCTGGAGCAGCAGTGAGCACGTCACCGTCTCCTGTCCCTCCCACGTTGCCCACAGCCTGAGGGAGGCCTGCAGGGTCCTTCCCTCTCTGTCAAACACCCACGCAGAGGTGTCCTGAGATGCCACAGCTCCTGGCCTGCCAGGCACGTGCGTCCGGGAGCGGGCAGAGGGAGGAAGAGGCCGTGCGTGCCCTTGGGCTCCACGCTTAGGGACGTGAGTATCTCGAGAGGTGGGGAGATGCCTGTGTAGCCCTAACCATTCACAGCGCCTGCCGTGGGTCGAGGGCAGCAGCTACACCAGCTGCCAGTGCGCTGTTGCAGAATACAGCCAGGCAAGGCTCTCTGTTTGGGGGGAAATGATTACGAAATTCACATGGAATAGTAAAAAAGTCAAGCAGTGCACAAGGATAGGCAGTGAACAAATGAGTCCCCCCCCCCCCCCGATGCAGACCCCCTGAGCCCACATGCCACCCGTAACCTCTGGCATGTCTGTATTCGTTTCTATTGCTGCTGCACACGTGATTACAAACCTAGTGGCTCAAATGACACGTGTTTCCCTGACAGTTCTGGAGACCTGAAGTCCAAAGTGATCTCACTGGGCTCAAATCAAGGTTCGGGCAGGGCTGCTTTCCTGCTGGGGGCTCCGGGGCAGGATGGGACCCTGCCTTTCCCGGCCTCCAGAGGCTGCCTGCATCCCTGGGTGTGGCCTTCCCTCCGCAACACCAGCCGGCGGGCAGGGCCTGCTCCTGTCACGTGGCTCCGACTCTCCCACTTTTCTTTTTACGCCATTTGACAAGAACACAAGAGAACAAATCCACTTTATTTACTTTTCAATAACTTTAAATCCTTGCGGGGTACAGCATTACACGGGTTCTGTGTCCAGCGGCCTTAGCGGGAAGGTTGCTTTGGAATGTGCACGAACAATGCCACCATTTCCACGAGCTCGAGTTACCTTTCCCCGATGACTGGTTTTGTGTGGTTTGCCACCAGGAGTCACTGTGCTGTTCTTTGCTCTGTACACAGAAGCACATCTCTTGCCCAGAGAGAATTCAGTATCATCTCGAGTAACAGGCAGAAACGCCTTGGACCACAGCCTTCCAGACTTATCTGTCCTGATAGAATTCCTGTCCCAGCAGCCTCCACAGGGTCCAAGATAGCAGAAAAAGCCCCTCTTCCGCTTTTTAAAAAATATGTTTTTATTTACTTTTTAGAGAGAGAAGAAGGGAGAGAGAGATAGAAACATCATGTGAGAGAGAAACATTGATTGGCTGCCTCCTGCACACCTCCCACTGGGGATCGAGCCCACAACCCGGGCATGTGCCCTGACCGGGAATCAAACTGGGACCTCTCAGTCCATGGGACAATGCTCAATCCACTGAGCCACACCGGCTGGGCTCTCCTTCTGCCACCCTCCCCCCTTTATTGATTTTAGAGAGAGAAGAAGAGAGAGAGAAACATCAATGAGAGAGAACATTGAGTGGCCGCCTCCTGCATGCCCCCTACTGGGGATCGGGCCCACAACCTGGGCATGTGCCCTGGCCCGGAATTGAACTGGCGACCTCTTGCTGCATGGGTCGACGCTCAACCACTGAGCCACACTGGCCAGACTCCCTCTGCCACTTTTTAAGACCCTTGTGGTTACATCAGACCCACCAGAAAATTCAGCATAATCTCCCTATTTTAAGATCAGTTGATTAGCAACCTTTATTTCCTTTTGCTATATAACATAACATAGTCACAAATTCTGGGGATTAGGATATAACTGGGGGACCATCATCCTGCTAATATTCTTCCAGAAATGTATATAATTTATACACACACTGTCTCACACACACACACACACACACACACACACACAATTGTGAACGCACTAGACACACTGATCTATACTTTTTTCTTCATCTGCCTATTAATATATCTTCAAGGTCTTCCCAAATCAACACATTACTTGTGAACCCTGCATGAGATCGTTGTATGATCTCATGGAAAACAGAACGCATCAATGCTGAGCAAATGCAAGTTCACACACAGAGAGACTGTGAGGCCCAGGAGGGCAAACGCGAGCTGACGTCGTCCTGAATCCGAAATGAGATGCGGCGTAGTAATGAGACACAAGGTATGGGGTACAAGAAGGTGACAGCAGCTCCTGCTTGTTGAACACTTGCCTTGCATGAACTGATTTAATCTTCACAACAGCCCTA